GAACCACTGCACTTTGGTTCCCAAAGTTGGGCTTGGGACCCAATTATGGGTCATGAAGCACCTTGGATAATCTCCAGGAATCAATTTAAAGGGTAATAAAATAATTGCTGATTCAATATTTTCCCTATAATTATTACAAAAACACAAAATAAGTATAAATAAGTATTTATATTTGTGTACAAGCTGTTTAGATTGTCAAAAAGCCTGTGTTTTTAGGGTTATTAACAAAGTTCGTGTACTCAGACCAGTAATATTTGGAGTCACAAGTTTTTGCCATGGATATTTTGTGGGTCAGAAGATAAAAAGTTTGGGAACCTCTGTTCTAGAGATTTGAGGCTGGGAGGGAGGTTTACAGTGACCTAAACACGCAGATGAAGCAAAAAGTCCAATCAAAGCCCAAACTTTATTCCAACTGAGGAGTAAGCACTGGTTTGATTTGAAGATCGCTGAACATGAACAACATTCAACTTGAAGAAGCTGCAGCAGTTTGATTGTGAAGAACGGACAAACATTCAAGGGATTACACTGACCAAGATCATGGAGACAAACCTGAAAAGACTTGCTGCCTGAAAACATTGACTTTTGGGGTATGAATAAAATGTTTGCATGCACCTTCCAGGTAGATATTTTCTAGAATATTTTAAACATTTTTTTCATTTAGCATGATTAATCTGGACTATTTTTGTGTAGGTTCCTTACTTATAATTTACCTGAAAGTCTGTGTAAAATCCAGACTTTAAAGCTACAAAATAAAGAGATGGAATGAATATCCAGTGAGTCACCCACGTTCTCAATATGGAAGGTGTTTTCAGTGTACCTCCCTGAATTACGTAATCTAAAGCAAGTAAATCAGTTTTCATCCCCTACAGGCAGATTTGAATGTCTGTAGCTGTTTCATGTGAAGTCACAGAGCTAAATTCCTACATGTATTAAACCATTACTGCGTCTTTCCAGGACTGAGTGAACAGTTGGCGCCAGACATGATGAACCCAGTATTAGCTTTGATATTTCAGGCCTTTGGATGAATATGGTGCGTGTGATTGTGCGAATATCTCACCAGAACTGAGTGCATGCCAGTATAGATCCGGCTCAGACACACCAAGGACGACAGCGTCACTGCAATCAGCAGACCAATCTCGAACTGGAACTGAGATACACACAAAAAAGACGAACACACACACACACTTTTTGACACCTCGCTGATTGAATGTCGTCAGTGAAATGTCTCAGAGCAGAACGCTGTGAGCCTGTCACACTTGTATCTCAAGATAAATACAGAAACATTTTTTTATGATAGCAGAGACTTCAGACTGACGATTAATCTTCCAGCAGGACAGTGTCCCCAAACACACAAAGTCTCTGTAAAATTCAGAATAGAGTTCTACTCTTAGTATGAACATACAAAGCTCTGAACAACCAATAACTTATAAAAAAGCTGTTATTGTTCCATATTTTCCTAACAGGACTTTCCTCTCAGACTGCAGGTTTACTTGTGRTTCCTCGAGTTTCTAAAAGGAGAATGGGAGGCAGAACTTATACTTATCTAACCAACTTTCAGTTTCTGTCAGGGAGGCTGACACGGTCTACTTTAAGACTTTCTTTTTTGAGAAATTAAGGTTTTTGGGGGTTTCCTGGACTCATTTTATAATGCTGCTGTAGGCTCAGACTGCTGGAGGACAAACATCTTTACTTTCTCCAATCTCAATGCTTATATACTTAGCACAAAGATAAGAACATTTGTGTTTGGTAGATTATTTCTTTGTTGTAAATGTTTCTTAGCAATAAAACTTATAGTAGCACCTGACTGGCAGCACCTGGGGTGGGGGTGGGGGGTAGCAGAAGACCAAAGCAAGAGTCAGTAACAACAGCAAAGCTGTGGTAGAGAAGAGTTGGCCAATTTTACATGGACCCCACATACTCTGCTGCTCATCCAGCAAATGCATGTTCCTTACAAATATGGCACCATTTAAAAAGGGAAATTAACAGGCTTTCCATCTGTACAATATGTTGCCAAGAAGCATTGTTACAATAAAGAAACAATCTACCAAACACACATTTTCTTACTTTTTGTGCCATGTTTACATGCAATTACCATTAACCTGTGTTTTCTTTGTATTTTTTCAGAGTCCCAAGCTCATAAAACTAAAGCTCACACCCTTAATAAAAAAAGATAAAAACTTATGAAATATGAAACTTTTACTAGCCACACATTGCATTAAAAGTGCAAAAGATTTACAGTAAAATGTACATGTCGATCCCTTTGGACATTTACCTGGATAATGAGTATTAAAAATCCACAATTTTCACAAAAATTCCATATTAATCACACGTGTGAGGGGGTTCAGAGCAGGAGGAAATGAGTTTGGGAGAACTTATATTANAAAAATCCATAATTTTTGCTAAACAATCGGGCAGGTGGAGGTGCTAGCAGACTGTCAGCCATGGAGATGAACTTATTTATTGTGGCAGAGCAGGTTAGAAGATGGTTATTTGATGTTATTTATTGTTTTTAATGTCCTACCTACAGGTTCCAACATGGTACATAAATTTAAAAGTTCTTTTAAAAATCTGTAAAACTTTTAAAAAAGTCTGTAAAATGAGGGAACATCCCTGTAAATTACAGAAAATCCATAAAACTTGACATGTAAGCAAATTGTATTATCATACATGTATCACATTACAAATGTAATATTGTATGAGATTGAAAATACTAAACACAGTAACTGCTCAGTCTTGCTTAGTAAAAATATTGGTAAAAAAAATAAGGTGGAAGGTTAGAAGGTGAGAACAACTCAAAATAAGGAATGTTTCAGCAACTCTGAGGTGTCACAAATATCAAACTTTTGGTGTTTAAAAGATAAAAAAAGTTGTGAGCTTTTGTCTTGTGAGTGTTTTGTCCATACACCACCTCCTTCTACACACCTCTGTGTTTCTGTCTTTCTTGTTCTCTCAAACCACAACCAGTCAAGAATGGTTTGGTCTGAGGTTTCTTCCAGTTCAAAGGGAGTTGTTCCTTTCCACTGTCACCACCACGCTGCTGAACATGGGGGGTTGCGGCGAGGTGAAACTTCTTTGTCTTGATGTTTTACTCCTCTGCTCATCACTGATCTATTGTGTCTGGTTGGCATACTGCCCATCATCACCTCTGTTTCCCTTTCTTCTCATCCTCTCTGCTGCCTTTCTTTATCTAAGAAGCAGGTTTTATTCTCCCCTCATTTAAATAACAGTGAGAAGAGAAGCCTTGTGTATTCATTCACCTCCTCCGCCCTCCCCTCCTCGCCTTCTTTTCTCAGTCTTTTCCTGCCTTTTGCAGCTGGAAGCCTTTTCAGTGGTAGTTTATGAAGAGAGTTTTTTTTAATGAATGGCCACAAAGGATGCCAGGGACAGGAGGAGGTCACTCTGTGACTGACTGCTGTGACCTCCGACCTGCTTCGGGAACAGGATAAGATGCCCCGAGGACTCGAGGGCTATTCAGGGTCCTCACAGATTGTTAGTCATCCATCGCTATGCGCGCTCTTTTCTCTCAAAGAATTCCTTGAGGAATTTCTGGGCACAGCAAACTCCTCTACTGTACACGCTCGCCTCAGTTGTTGATCCCATATCTTTGACTCGAGGAACACATTTCACCACAAATCAGTTGGACAGCCCCGTAAACTTCCAACTAAAGATTTGTGAGGCTCTTGGCTGCAGCCCGGCGCTTGATTGAGACAGCGTCCAGTTGAGCCTTTAAGTGTTTTATTGACACGGTAGTAAGAGCTGGAGAGACAAAGAGAGGAAGAAACAGGAGGAGGAAGAGCGAGGGAGGCGGAGGAGTGGACTGACAGTCATTGACTCAGGCCAGTCTATTAGAAGATGAAACAGCAGCTCGGTGGGTGTAGCTGATGGTGACTGATGGTGCTGCTCCTCTCAGACCATTGTCTAATCGTTCAGTCAGGAATCTGTGATGAACAGCAGGGGCCACTCCCTTCATCCCAGTCTACCAGCCACAAGCTCCCAGTCCTATAAATTCAACCTCCATAGATTATAGGAAGAAATGATTTCGGTTTGACTAATTGAACACTGTCTGCTACCTTGTTAACCTTGGAGGCCATTTATGAAAGTCAGCAGCAACTAAAAGTATTATAATCATAGTTAAATAGTCAACTAAGCGTTCAGTTCTAGCTTTCAATTGTGCAATTTCTGGTCACTGACTCTGAGAAAACAATTCAAAGTTATACTGTAACAGTAATGAGTGTAAGGATCAACAACTTTATAATACCACACTAAGGTTCTGTAGCATGTTCAAAGTGGTTTACTAGTTTATTCTGAATATAATTACAGAAACACTGGTTTATGGCATCAAGTTGTCATATTCTTATTGTTTCCAATTACATTATCCATTCTAGCACATCTAGGGATCAGAATTCATTTTGATGATTTTGGCTAAATTGCATGGTTGATCCAATAGTCTATATTTATTTGTACCTTTTACCATCTTTAAAGACATTAGACGTGTTTAGTTCAAGATCTTTTAAATGATAACATATTTAAGTTTAAATTGTAAGAGCGTTTGTTACCCCTTACTTGAGGTAAATAAGTAAATATAGAACTCAGTAAAACAAGCTACAAATTTCGGATCATGCATCTTCCACCGTAAAAAGTAACACTTGCAGTTTAAATGATAAAACTAAATTGACATGCAGACTACAGGAGGAAAAAATGAACTAATTTCCTGAAATGCTCATGATTTCTGGTAAAATTTAAGGTCAGTCTGTCCAAAAATCCATCAGCCACCTTAAAGCTGAACCCTGACTGTTCCCTTTGTTTTTATTGTCGGTTTTATTAGTTGATGTAGCTACATAAATCATTCACATCCCACAGTTTTTACTTCAAAGACGCATTATCATTAACTCAAGAAAATGCGTGCGCAGATTTTGTTTCTTTCTTTCTGAAATTGTTTTTTTTTTTTCATGGACTTTAAGATATTCAATGAGTAGCCAATAATTTTGCTACCCCGAAGGGAACTTTCAATTATTATTGCTCCAAATTTTACAACATTAAACTTTGTTGACACGATTTGATAAAAGGTTCTGGAATAATGGTTTTATGCAAATTCGATAAAAGATTTCCTCATGTGGAGATGATGAATGTTTTATCTGTTCATTCATTTATTGAATGAATAATTGATTTATTCATTTTACTGTATTTTTGGGAAGCCGTTTGTTTGTTGAAACGTTTGCAGTTTGGCATTACACAATCTGACACTTTCGGTGATGACACTTGTGTGGCCTGAAGGCTAATTTTTGACTTTTTTAGGATTATGCACTTTACAAATATCCTGACTGAGAAAATCCATTTTTGTATGAACAAAGCTAACCTGGTTCACCGTCTTCCAGCCCACCTACAGACCAGTGCTCACCTGGACTCTGCTGGGCGCGCTCAGCAGAAGTGTGAAAAAGATGGAGGTGGCGGCCATGGCATGGGTGGAGGGCAGCCCGTACTCTGCGTCCACTCGGGGCTCCAGCTTGACCACGGGCGGCGAGGAGGGGCGGGGTAGCCTCAGCACATCTTTCATCACCTGGCCGATGTACATCACCAACTAGAGCAGACAGATTTCAGGTTTGTTCAGTGTTCAGTTCAGGTAGATTGGTCGTCTGTTAACTTCAGGTTCGACAACCTCAATAACAGTCTAATCTACGACAAAGAAATCTACAGTTTGAAAAGAACCAAGATCTAAATATGTTATACATACTGCTCACGGTCACCCTGGTGACCATACAGCTGTGTCTCTCACTCCCTCACAGCCACATTAATTATAGGCAAACTGAGTCAAATAGATGTTAAAACACACTCAAGATTATAATTTGAGCTAAAATATAGCTGTATGTGTGGCAGCTTGGCTGAGCACTCTGTAATCTGAAGAGGTCTGAGAGAAAATCATAAATATACAGCAAGACACACATTGTGTGAAAGAAGACAAATACATCTATGTTTTGATGTATAGTTTATATACGCTCCAAAAAAAATTTTGTGGTGAGAAGAACGTTTGAGACCGTTCAACAACTCAAATATGCGAATTTTCAACTGTCTGTATGGAAATATGTCAAATAAAAGTCACAAAAAATTTAGTTCATTGTGTAAAAGATATTTAAAAATCAAAATGTCAGTTCAGATGTGTAAAGTCATTATTCCTGTGACATATTTAAACTTAAAATGATGCTTCTACTGTAAACTATGTCTGAGTTTTCTCATGTTTGGCAAAAATCTAAATGATTTTTCTTCCACCCTCATATTTTCTGTTATATTATTCTGAATTATAATTACTTCTGTTATACATGTTTTCTTTATGTTTCCCAAGAGTTTTTAGTCTTGTGATACTTTTGAAGAGGTTATACACTGTAGAATGCAGAAAAACTTCAGGCGAGGGAAAAAAAGGTATTTTTTTTTTCTATGTTCCATCCTCACTATCTCTGAAACAATAACCTATGATGTAGGGATGCACCGATATGAAAATTTCAGCTGATATTGATATCCGATATAATTTTTGCTGTTATGGCTGATAACCGATATTTACCGAAATTACACAAACACACAAATTATTTATATACATATACACACAAACACACTTGAGTCTTTTTTGAAATGGTAAATAAATGACCAGATCTCTGACATGGCTCTACTTCAGTTATTCCTGGCTACACAGAGTAAATATCACTATCATGATCAAACAAATACCACTCAACCAACCATGTCCCCTCCCAAACCAGAAACACAAAGCTAAAAGGTGGGAAATCAGTATCTGACATTAATATCGACCCAGTTGTACATATTGGCCCGATACCGATATTCTAAAAAATGACCAATATTGTCCGATACCAATATCAATATAGATATTTCATGCACTTCTGATGAAATCCCCCTAATATTAGTTTTATTTTGATAACAAGGGTATTTACATGGTGTTTGTAAGTGCTGAGATACACTCAGTTACATTTGGACATGCTATTTCCAGCACAAACTTCAAGAAAACCCATTGGGGCTTAAGAGATTAAAAAAAGTTGTCTATTTTGTGCAACATAACGTTACTAAAAAGTCAGCACATTTCCCATTTGAACTGCAATGGTGAATCATTTCCATGTTTTTTTAAAGCTGCACAACATCCACGTTAAAATTTGCACCAATAAATAAAATTAACAAGTAAAGATTAAGAAACATAGAAATAAGAACGGAACATAAGATAAAGTAGAAATTCTGTCTACTCTGTGCTTTCAAAAAATAGAAATACACTTTCATAAATAACTAATCAACATGTTCACTACAAAAAAACACTTTAGAATAAAGTGCAGGTGCTGCAGAAACTAAATCTATTGTAAGACTGAGATTTGCAGTCAGATTTGCTGACACACCGTCTTCAGCTGGTGTGGTGTGATGAAGCTCTACTCTTAAAAAAAGGAAATCAGTGTATTGTGCAGATGTGTGTGTGTGTGTGTGTGTGTGTGTGTGTCTCCAGTCAACAGTGCAGCCTATTCTCTTTCATGCAGATCCCCAGCGGCCCTGGAAGAGGGCGGCCTGCTCCAGCAGCAGGTTTATTTAAAGCTCCGGCTTGTATATTTAATGAATGGCTGTCGTAGTGAGGAGCAGGGAGGCAGTGTGCACAGAGGGAGCAGGATACTAATGTGTGTGTTTAAGGAAAAGAACAGAAAGGTTGTCATTATGCTCTCTATTGACACTGTGATCAGGAAGTGCTTGTTACCATGGCGAGGGAGATCTGAAAGTGGCTCTACTGACCCTCTGTTGGTGTGGAAACTTGACGAGACAGATCCAAAGAGCTCTCCGTGAGTGCAGGCAGAGGCTGGACGAAGTTTAACCGCAGGGATTCACTTTCCTCCAGGTACAAGAACATTAAGAAGGTTCTGCACTTATGGTGGAAAATAAGACCCTCAGTGTCTTTGACTCACTGGGTGGGACTGTAGAGCTGCACTGACCACTCAGGCTCTTGTTTACCAAACTACATTAATTTTTAAAAAAGCTGCAGGTGGAAATTTTACACAGAAGCAGGGGCGCCACAAAGTGGGGGCCAAGCAGGGCAATGGCCACTGCTAAAACCCACTGGCCCACCATTGTAGAATAAGTTATAAAGAAAATTTAATTCTCCAAATGGTTTGTTGTTCTGTTGTTTACTTACTGATATAATCCTGTCTCTGAAAAATGTTATTTTTTATGAAATACGGGGACCGAGATAAACGAAAACACTCAGTGAAGTCACAGACAGACAGTGTTGTTCTGAATAGTGCAACAAACAAACTAAAAAACTTGGTTTTTGCATAAAGGCTGGGAGCTATACTGAACAAGCCTGATTCTCTTTAACAAATAAGATCTCATTTTTTAAAATATATTAAAATAGGTAGCCTACATAGCTACGACCAGTGTAGTTGTATCATAAAAAGGCTAAAAACACTGCTCACAGTAAGGACACCAAAGAGGTGTCTTGGTCTGGACCAAGTACAGATTAACAATAACGAACAGTAGCAATCAGAAATTATTCATTTTATTTATAAAATAAACAGTTTGCATATAGACTGACAAAATTAGAAATACATGCAAAAATATATAAATGAACCAATAACTAGATAAATACACTCAAAATGCACCAATTAAATTAAAAAAGGATAACTCATGTTTTATAACTTCATTGACCATCATATTTATTTTTCCAGCTTAGTTCCAAAAAATTATATATTTTAGCACAAAATTTATATTTTGCTATTTTTCATATATATAGTTTTTTTCTTCTTTTACTTATAGATGCATTTATGTCTCTTAAACCTGATCTGTTGTGAAAGCACAATTCGTACCGTCAGCTCATTTGCGCATGTGCTAAAAGATCTACTTTTGGATTACTGATTGATTCGCTCCATTCAGGACAAAAAAACTAGAAATTATCTCCATACTTAATTATAAAAGGTGTGCTATATTGTATTATATTATAT